GCTATTAGATATATTGGGGGTACTCGTAGCATAGTATGACGGTTGAGATGTTCGGTACGTACGTACGAAAGTAACGGTGATGAGATGCGGAGGGATAGGAACTTTCTACATATATTCCTTGGTTGCGAGAGGTATTTGGTGGAGATTCAGAGAGATTCGTTGAGTGACAAAGAGTGAAGGCGTGCCCAGATACCGTGAAGGTTTGACAAGCACTGGCACGCCCCCGATGAATACAATACTTTTACAATCCTTTTCGATACGTTTTCCACACGTTTCTACCCATCCACGCTCCGCCATGAGCCACCCGCTTTGAGCTCCAAGCACAAAGAACCGAGCCACCCGAATTATCGATCAGGTGCACCAGGTACAGGCGTGCGACGGTGCGATGGGTGCCGGGGGGGCGTGCGGAGCGGCGAGTTTCTTGGCGTTTACTGTGATGTCACTGGTGCAGAATTGTGGCTTGAGTGGTTACAGGTGAGGAAGAGGTAACGTTCCTCTCCTGTCCAACCTTTTGAGGCTGTTCCGTTTTGTACATCTAGTGTTCGCCTGTTAATAATCTCGTGTCGCATGTCTGGCACGAACTCTATAGGGTGCTGTTTGTTCGAGCCGGTATGTTGATCTCTCGGCCTCCGGCGTCTCCTCTCTGTTCGCAGTAATGGTGTCGACATCTGTCTCCAATCAGTTTCAGCGCGGGCCGCACGGCAACACTGTCGTGTCGCAAAGTGTCAAGATGGTGTCGACATCTGTCTCGGCTGATCTTTCAGCGCGGGCCGTACATACACACACGCGGCCTGCAATGTGTGTGGGCCGCTGTGTGTGGACCGCAAAGCGACCAGACACTGCTGGGCATACCCTGTGGGGTTTAGATGAAGACAGCGTGAAACACAGCGTGCCTCGGTTGCAGCACACGTCGACGTAGTAGCTGAACCCTGCAATAAAACGCAATAAAACGAAATTATACGCAAGTCATGGAGCAACGACACACACGCAGAGACTACATCATGCTTGTAATTATTGTTCCAGGAAAAACAATCAATCTGGAGATGGATGAGAATTCTCAGGGTTTCGTCTCGTTTCGTCTCCTCCACGTCAACCCAAAATACCAAACTCCTTTCAATACGGACATAGATAGGCTATCCAACCATTCGCCTATGGCTCCCTTCATATCTTCCTCCTCATATTCCGCCATCATTGTAAGGATAATCCGAACTGGGGGTAGCTTGTCGCAAGAAGTGTGTGTGTGTGTGTTGAATAGAGTTTCGGCAACTCGGCGGGGTTGCGCCGAGGAGAAAAACTTGGTGTGATTAGTTGCATCCACATACCCCACAGCAAGCACGTTGTAGGGTCCCGTCCAGGAGAGCGCGAACTTGGCCTTGAGCACCTGTTCATCGGTGTCCTTGCGCGCACCTTGGCGAATCGTAGCAGCCGTGTTGTACACCCAAGCCCACGCTCCAACAGTAAACTTCGGAATCTTGTTGATGGCGTCCAGCATGGATGAATTGCGGCGTTCGACTCTCGAAATTTTCAGAGCGTTGTACTCTCGGACCAGGTCGTACGCTCGGCGTTGCCGATCTACCGCCAGGTTGCAATACTCGAGTTGATCACGGTCCAAGCTTTGATGACCACCGACTGAGGGATGATCGAAGACCGAAAGCGGAAGTCGCGGGATACGTCCCATCCATGTGGATCTCGTTGGGCGCCAACCCAGTAGACTTGTTTACAGAATTGTTGTAGGCGAACTCAACGTGTGGGAGATGCACATCCCAGTCGTTTTGCTGTTCGTTGACCGCAACGGCAAGCATTTGGGCCATCGTGTAGTTGACGCGCTTCGT